AAAGGGGGATTTTGTAACAGGGAACAGCCATTGCCACACCTGAGCTTTGGTCATGCTTTGCCTGTACCAAAGAGGGCATTCAATGTATTGAACAATATTGTGTTAATAGCACTGCAGGCTAAAACACCTGGTCATGAAGGAAGGAAATTGGGGGCAGAGGGATGTGTGGTTAAACGAGCTAGAAAAAAAAGGGATCCCTCCTCCCGGGGAGTGATCACATCAGGCTGTTTGCCATGCCTTTTCCTGATGTTTAATTCTCATACTGACATTTAATTTCACTGCTTCAGTATTTTGTCTTTCCAGTGATACACACATTCTCCCCTAGTTATTTTCTGTGTGTTTGTTTGTTTGTTTTGCAGTAGTTGCCCTTATTTGTGGAGAATGAGTTGCAAGACCCTAGTGGATATCTGCAATGGCCAACAGTACTATATTCTACAATACTGTAATATTTTCCATATATACACATATATATGGTATATGGTAAAGTTTAATTTGTAAATTAGGTACAGAAAAAAATTAACCACAACTAATAATAAAACAGAACAATTATGATGATGTAAGGCAATGAAAGTAATTTAAAACTTATGAATTATTTATCTCTGGAATTTTCCATGTTATATTCTCAGGCTGCTGTTAACTATGGGTAAAGGAAGCTGTCAATATCAAAACCAAGGCTAAGGGGAAACCACTGGGCTCTCTCAAGTACATCATATTCTTTTTTCCTTTCCCTCCCCCCCTTTTTTTTGTAGTTTTAACAATCTGGCCTCTTACAAAGGATGAGGCTGATCATATTTGCCTCAGCATGCTGTTCTCAGAGCCTAGTCACAGTGGGCACTGAGATGTCTGTCCTGGGGCCACTAGCTCACTCTCCCTGCCACACTCAGAAAATGATACACACTGGGCAAAGGCTCCAGATCTGGCTGGTTTATGGAACTCATTTACTGAGGTTGTTGGAAACTAGATGTTGATTCAAAGACATTTACATAAATAAGCAGATGCCAAATTGGGATAGGGACATGGGGGAATGTGGGGTTCTGTAAGCCAGCTGCAGTAGACACCAAAGAGCAGTAGTCTCAACCTGTGGATTGGGACCCCCTTGGTGGGGTTGAATGACTTTTTCATGGGGTTCAAATATCAAATTTCTGCTTATCAGATATTTACTATTCATAAAAGAAGCAAAATTACAGTTATTAAGTAGCAATGAAAATAATTGTATGGTTGGGGGTCACCACAACACAAGGAGGTGTACTAAAGGGTCACAGCACTAGGAAGGTTGAGAACACTGCCATAGAGTCACATTGATCTTCTTGACAACTGCTCCTATGGGAGTTATGGGTGACACAGGGGCTGTGGAGTCTTTGGGTACTGATTCAGATCCAGGGCCCATTACATCCCATTCTGGGGCATGGCGCTGGGAAAACCACTGGTTTTCTGTGTTGACAGAAAACACAGGTCTTTGTGGATTTTTGAGATGCATTCTTTCCAAGACTTTCCCCAGACACATGAAACCACAGAGACCACCAAATCCCACATAGAGTGGGTTTCTCTACACACACACACACACACACACACCCCTATGGTAAAATTAAATTTATAAATTAGACACAGTAAGAGACAATAACTACTAGTAATTAAAACAGTATACCATAATCAAAGTCATTTTAAACTAATGAATTGTTTATTTCTGGAACATTCTGTTAAATATTTTCTGACCTTGGTTAAACTTGGGTGACTGAAGCAACAAAAACAGACCCTCAGATAAGGGAGGACCATGGTCCATACAGGTTTGTGTTCTGGTTCATCTTTCATGTTTAGAAACTTGGTCACCAGCAGATGGTGCTACTGAAAGGTGGTAGAAATGTTAGGAAGCCTTGTGGGAGAAAGTAGGTCACTGGGAGTGATTTTGAAGGAGTATCTTCCACCAGTCCCTGGACCCCTTCTCTCTCTGTATCCTGTCCCTCATGAAGAAAGCAGCCCCCTCCACCACATGCTCCTGACTGCACAGTGCTCTACCTCACCACAGTCCTGCAGGCCACAGAGCCAGTCTACCAGAGCTGAAGCCTCTGAACACACGAGTCAAAACAAACCTATCAACCATGAAAAGCTGACCAACAGCCCACATTATGGCGCACTGTAGATGGTCAGTACTACAAACACCCTCTCTCAGCTGTCTTTGGTTCTAATTGTGCAGCAGTGTGAGGGGATGCGAGGGTAGATATGGTGTTTCTAAGCTCAGTACAGTCTTCTCAGGCTTTGATTCTACTGGCTTGATCCTTCTGCTACAAGCAGCAACAGGGACCATCCCATTTAAAATCATTTACTGCATGTTTGTTATGACAGCTGTACAACAAATCACCTTAAAGTACACCCTGAGCCATGAACCATTCATTTCCTCTGCTGTTGGGTTGGTAGATATGGAGTTCAGAGAACCCGAAGGTTAGTTTGTCCCTGCTCTGTAGTCCAAGGCTCTAAGGGAAGAGACTCGAATCCTCTCCAGTTCAGGGCTGGAGCCCTCTGTGGGTGTGATCATTCTCATGTCTGGAAAGAGATTCTGACTGCCTTCTGCCTGTATTCAGCTTCCTGTGGTATGGGGGCTGTTTGTTCCAAGAGAGGTGCTCAGTGGATGCTGTAGCCCTAATCAAAACTCAGCCTTGATGATCAGACAATGTCCCCACAAGCATATTCTGTTGTATGGGTAAGCAGTGACAGTGTTTCATCCATGCTAAAGGAGCGCCATGACTGTTGTGCTCTATCAGAAGTGTGGATGGTGTGTGGAGTGGCTGTCTCTGAAATGTACAATTTCAACACTATGTTGCCAGTATTAGATGAGTTCCCATTCCCTAAAAATTACACAGGGTTGATGGTGCAATTATTTCTCTCCTGGAGATGGACAGAACAAGGCTCCAGGTGGCTTTCCTTGTACAATTTAAACCAATGAACCTCAGTTTACATCCCCATAAAATGGGTAGAAAGCCTCCACACCTCAAAGTACCACTGTAAGCCTAATACTTAACTATTACAAAGGTTGTTAGAAGGATACAGTTGGGGTGTTTCATGATTTCTGACTGCCTTAGAGTTTTATTGCTGTTAAGAGACACCATGACTACAGCAACTCTTATAAAAGAAAGCATTTAACTGGGGCTGGCTTACAGTTTCAGAGGTTTAGTCCATTATTGTTCTGATGAGAAGCATGGCAGCATGCAGGTAGACACGGAGAAGGAGCTGTGAGTTCTACATCTTTATCCACAAGCAACAGGAAGTGAATTGTGACACAGGATGTAGCTTGAGCATAGGAATCCTCAAAGCCCGTCCCCATAGTGACATGACTACACCTACTCCAACAAAACCACACCTCCTAATAGTGCCACTCCCTATGGGAGAAATTTTCTTTCAAATGTTTCACCACACTGACATTCTAAGAATAATCAAATTTTCCAGGCATGGCACCATTCTCTCCTTTACCTGTGGCCACCTGTTATACATACTAACCCAACCTTCCCATACTCTGGCATGATTCAAGACTTTACTAGCTTACCCCAGAGGGAAAACAAGGCGTGCCCTTGCATTTTGGTTATGGCTCAGTTGAGTGCAGCAGATGCTGTCCCTGATTGATTCCATCTTCCAAAAGGAAATAAAATCATTGAGACCCTCATTGGTGTTTACAAATTCCAATTGTGTGAACTCTCCTCACTCATTGAGTGGATTATTAATGGGCCTTTTACTCACATTCATAAAGAAGCATCTATTGCTCATATCTTTCTCCCAAGGGAGAAGGAGTTTCTGAGTTACTTTGTAGGTCCCAGGAGAAAACTTCCAGTCCTTGAAGGGACCATAGCCCATCACTGGAAAAATCTTCTCCTAAGGACTTATGTCAGATTCATATTTCCCCTTCATTGTCAATGTTCCTGTCCCTGGGCCTGGGTGGGTAAGAATCCTCACCTGCATGCAGACTGAGTTCAAATCTCCAGTATCCATGTAAAAAGCTGAGCATAACTGGGTGTATACCTGCAAACCTAGCACTGTGAGCAGCAGGGACACAAGATTGCTGAAAAGCCCTGCCATTCCTCCCAGCTCTAGGTTCAGTGAAAGAGCCTTTATGGGGCATGATAGAGCAGAACACCCAATGTCCTCTCTCCAGTCTCCATGCATTCACACATGTGTGAATATATCACACACACACAGAACACACACACACCACACATCCATATACACATACCACACACCTCTGTATGAACCATACAGACACCACACACATGCATGCCCATACACACTAAGAAATCTCCAGTTGCTATGCAGCCCATGACTCAGACAATTGACTCTCTTGTTAGAGTCACTGAGGAAGGAGGGTGGGATGGTACTCACCACCTGAGGATCAAGGAGCTGGTGTGTGTAGGGGACCATTCCCAGCTTCAGTGCCAGTGGTACTTTGAGGTGTGGAGGCTTTCTACCCATTTTATGGGGATGTAAACTGAGGTTCATTGGTTTAAATTGTCCAAGGAAAGCCACCTGGAGCCTTGTTCTGTCCATCTCCAGGAGAGAGATAATTGCACCATCAACCCTGTGTAATTTTTAGGGAATGGGAACTCATCTAATACTGGCAACATAGTGTTGAAATTGTATATTTCAGAGACAGCCACTCCACACACCATCCACACTTCTGATAGAGCACAACAGTCATGGCGCTCCTTTAGCATGGATGAAACACTGTCACTGCTTACCCATAAAAGGTGGAGGGTCCTCCCATCTCTGGATTCCACTATCCCTAACTTCACTACAATCCTGAACAAAGTTAAGTTTTCAAAATGCTAACAATAGAAGTGAGAAGACAGAGGCCCAGAGAGGTGCCAGAACTTGTTCAGAGTCACACAGGATGTCAGTGACAAAGGCAGAGAGGCTTTGGCTGCTCTGGGCTGGATATACCAGGGTTAGTGACAAGCCCAACCCCTATACCTCCCTCCCCTGAACCACATGAGGAAGATCATTTCCTATTCCTGGCTTCTTTGCCAGCCCGAGTCAGCCTGAGAGATGGAGTGTAGAAGAATTATTTTCATATATAAGGACAGCCTTGGTGAAGGGGATACTGGGTTTCACTGTTTGACATCTGTTTCCCAGGAGACTCTGGGAAATGCAGGGGCAGAGTCCCCAACAGCAGATGAGGGCTTTAGAGCTATGTACCTGCTTGTGGAGTTTTTGTCCCGAGGCAAGCTGTGTGCTCAGACCTGACCATGTTTGGGCATGGAGGCTCGACCCAGACAGGATTGAAGACTGCTTCCCTGGAGACCAGCTGGGAGACCAAACTTCCTGCTAAAGCCTGACTTGGGGTGGGGGTTGGGGGGCCGGGAGGAGAAAAACCATCTGCCAGCGGAGACCCAGTGAACTGTGAGTACTGCATCCCAGAGAACTTGGGAAGGGCTTCTGGGAAGCTGGGGCTGGGGGTGATGGTGGGAGACAGCAGCATGCAATAGTACCTACCGATAGGATGGTGGAAACCCCCTACCTCCGCTGCTGCCCATCAGAGTTCTGGCACCAGAGAGCCTAGCATGAGACTTGGGTCTAGGAGTCACTTCAGTGGCCAGCCTAGAGATCAGAACCAGTCTTGTCACTTGTCATCAGTAGAGGGACAACAATAGATAGGCCTGGCAGAGTGCTGCACGATTTTGGTGTTTCAATTCTCCATTAAGGATGACTACTGTTTATGGATGGCTTCCATTGTAGCATGTTTGTGACACTCAACAATATCTGTAGGTCTGCACTGGGACTCTGAGGCAGGTACTGCTTTTCTTGTTTTTACAGTCATGTGGTTTCTAAGCAGCAAAGTCAGGACTTGGTCTCATGTCTGATGACCTCAGACCCTCTCTTTTCTATACTCCCCTAAATCCCTAGACACTCTGTTCTCAGTCTGTCTAAGGAAGAGTCTGTCTCTCCAATGGTTAAACCACACAAGACTCTTCTTTAACCCTTTTCCAACTTTCCTAAATCCAGCACAGAACTAGGGTGGTTTTTTCTACACAGAAAGTTCCATCCAAGAGGTTCTAAGACACCTAACATCTCACAACAAGGATAGTCTCTCTATAGTCTAACTGAAATCTCTGCTTTTCTCACAGAAACCCATTTCTCCCTGTCTAGGCTACAGGTAATATCAAGGGTTCACATCCTCTTTCCTGATGGAGACCCTCACTAAGCCTACAGAATCCCAAATTCCCACCTAAGTCCTACATTAAAGCAAAACCCACGATCAAGCACAGAAGTTGATGTTTCTTATAGAACTCACTCCAGCAGGACATTGCAGGCAGGTGGGACTGGGACAAGTCACTGCAGCTGGACCTCTCTGTTCCCCTTTTCTGCCCGTCTGAGCTCCCACACTCTAGCCATCATCAGGCTCCTACTGTCATCAGTCTTGGGAATGCCCAGCAGACAAGGAGGGCTCATTGGAAGAGGCTGGCACCACAAGGGAATCCCTGACAAGTGTGCCCAGCTTCTCAGAGAGATAATTGGTGATAATGGATTCTGAGTATTCAAAACTAATCATGGGTCTTATAAGGGTGGGGCCCCTGTGAGCTCACAGCCCTGTGAAACTCACAAAGCTCCATGCAGAGTAAGAGCAGTATTGATGTCTGACCACATCTCCTCTCATCTGCCCTCTCTTCTATGGACTATCTATTAGCTGGGAGGGTCTCATTTCTCTTTGCTTCTGTGGTGCTAGAAATGATTGCTGTCCCCAGTGACCATGGGGAAGAAGCTGGTGATGGCCCAGAAACGTGGAGAGACTCGAGCCCTCTGCCTGGGGGTGGCAATGGTAGTGTGTGCCGCCATCACCTACTACATCCTGGGTACCACTGTGCTGCCCCTCTATCAGAAAAGGTATGGAACTCCCCACTGCCTGGATATTCCCACAGGCCTAGGAACCCCACCCTTCTACCTGCCCTACCCTTGACCCCATCACAGAAGGCTGGACATCCCTTATCCTTAAGCTTAGGGGTTCCAGTGCTAGAAAAGCAGTCCAGTGGGAGCCTTGCTGGTCTGAGACCTGGAGAGGACAGGTGCAGGATGCCCTTGTCATAAGAATTAGCTCTCCGGTGAGGGTGTGTTCTTTGGGGGACAATCAGACCGGCAGACTGGCAGAAGTTTGCACAATGTCTCTGAGATGGGATTTCCCTTTTTGCAGCACACATTTCTCCTTGTCTGGGGCTTCCCAATAAGTAGGGAATCACTGCACGGAGCTGACATCTGTTGCTGCAAAATCTAGCAGGAATCTTGGAGAGTGTGCCATACCCTGGTGCCTCCCTCCCTGGCATGCCATCTCTCCAGCTTTTAAAGAAGCAATGTGGAGTTCCTGATTGCTGTTGTCTTTGGAACATACCTACAGTGCTGAGGGAGGCCTCCAGGCATATTCTGGCTCCTGACAATCCGCTCATGTTTGACAGTGGGTGTCCCACTGGATACAGGCAGCTAAGTCACAATCTATTGCTTAGGAGTTGACGAGCCTATCGTCCTCTCCCTGGCCTGCTCTACACTCACACTTTATAGTGCTATAGTCATGCTAGTCCAGAGTATCACCCGAATGAGACTCTGCTACAGTGGAGTGCCACCCTGGCTATATCAAGACCCTCATATAGTTCCTTGATTTTTTAGAGAAAGAGCAGAGATTCTGGAGCTACTCAGACCTTGCCTCAGGTGATGTGTCCCCCACCTCCTCCTAAAAGTTATAATCAATCTGAAGTTTTCATCTACACCTGAGACTTGAAGATGATATAAATAAGAAGGTCTCAGGCTAGTCTGCTCATCACAGTCCCATGATGACCATTTTAAACAACACTAGAGAAAGCCTGGGCCCAAGCACCTGAGAAATTCCCTAGAATGGGGCTCAGCCATGTGATCTTTTTAAAAGTTCTCAGGTGTAGAGCAGGTAACAAGGTTGAAGAACCACTATGGAGAAAATATCTAAGAGCCAACATGTCTGAAGTTGTTGTGATTTACCCCAAAGACCAGGACTCAGGGGCTGTGGACCTAGTCAATGTATATGCTCACGGCAGGATGAAGGTACCAGCCCTGGCCTCTTCAAAGACCCTTGGGGAACAAGGATTTCAAGTTGTTCTGAAATATGTGTGTGTGTCTCCCAGTGTGTGGACCCAGGAATCCACCTGTCACCTGATTGAAACCAACATCAAGGACCATGATGAGCTGGAGAGCAAGAAAGTGCCCCAGTACCCATGCCTTTGGGTCAACGTATCATCTATGGGCAGATGGGCCATGCTGTATCACACAGAGGACACTCGGGACCAAAACCAGCAGGTAATGAATGGAGGTTGGGTACATTAGCCCTGGCAGGTATGTGAGCCTGTCCAAAGCTGCCTATGTTTCTAAAGCCAAGGTATATTAACCCACCTGAATGGGGTCTTATGGCTGGCATGAGGTCGAGTCAGCCTTCAGTGTTGGAATCAGACAGATGTGGGTACTTTGAATTTACCCATCATTGACTGCGCATCTGGGGAAAGGCCACTGAGGTCCCACGAGTCTCAGTCTGCAACATTGTAAATGGGTTCTAATACCCTGCCCAGAAAACACAGTGCTCTGTCCAAATGGGCAAAGCCCCATGTTGGTTAATGGTGGGCCCTCAAAGAGCAGAAGCAGTCATTAGTAGATATGTCTTCCACCAACAGAGTCACACAGTGGAGCTGGATGAACCCATGAGCCACCTAGGAGTCAGGGATAGCAACCTCCATAACCAACATTCAAGAATTTCCCTCAAACTGCATACCCCTTCCAATCACTGTCATAGCCCTCCCTGTTGTGCAGACAAATTGGTCCCCTTTACTCTCTTCCTCTCGTTCACTTCCTCTATTCATTCAACAACCACTGTGCCTTCCCACATCAGGCTCTTGGGTCTCAAGAGGAGACAGCTTATAGAGGATCACTGATAGCTGAGGGGTGGGAGGCCACAGAGAGCAGCAGAGAGAAAAGGGACTCCAGGAAGCAGGCATTATCTCCCAGCTGGCAATGAGGCCTGGAGCAGGGAAATGATGGGTCAGGATTTTCAAAACGGGCAATTCCTGGAGCCATGGAAACATGAGGAGGGAGGCACAGCAATGGTGGGACCTCACATAGGCACAAGGGAGAAGGCTAGGCAAAGAATGATTCCAGAAATGCCACCTGATACAGTGGGGCATATGGTCAGAAACGGCCAGATGGCACTAAGGTCTGTTTCCTGAGAACTCTCCTATATAACTATGGAATTAATATTAGCATATCATTGGGGCATCTCACCTTTGGTTATATATGCAAACTATCGAGATTTAACAAATCAGACTCTACATCAGACTACCTGAGACAGAATCCCTGAGTATAGATCAGTTGGTGGAGCCCTTCAGATGATTCTGAGGTTGGATATTATTGCTATGAGCTACTGGAGGCCTGGGGTCACCATTCAAGTGATGTTGGAAAGACATAACCAGGAGCCATTAAGGGTCAGCTACTAAATGGAAGCTGGAACACAGCAGTCCCCAGGACAGGTGTGTGGATCTGTCACAAGCATGATACTAATAGTCAGAATTGAGGCTGACTGGTGCCTGATGTGGTGTTTGGGGGGGGGCGGGCTCTTGGGGGGCACGGAAGCCAGAGGTAGCAGTGTGTAGAAGTCAGACTCATGATCATTGTTGGCACGACTGTATGGGACAAGAACCTCGAGCCCCATCAGGGTTAGCTCCTACCTCCTTGACATCCCGGAACCTTAATTTATCCCAGGAGTGAGAAAAACATTTTCAAAGATGAGAAGCCGTGGCTATAGTGCCATTCTCCTGGCACACTGCGTTAAGGCTGCTCACCTCTTAATCCCAAGGTGCCATCCCAGAGAGGCCAGAAGCTAGTCCAAACCCTGCGTGGGTTGTGAAAAGTGTGTATTACTTCTTCTCTAGTGAGGGAAGGAGGGGCTGTTAAACCACAGCACCTACAAACTACAAACAGAAAGTGAAGAGCAGCCTGCCATGCTGGGACAGTCACACATTTCATTCTCTGGTTCAGCATCAGGATACATGACTGGCTGATGCTACCGGTTGGTCGATGCATGCTTCTGGACATGTCAGACCCTCCTTCCTCCTCCATCACCTGCTCTGTCTCCTCCCGTGAACCTCAGTCTAGGCTAACAAGAGTGAAGCCTCAGAATAGAGGCAGGGGCTTCATAATTTTAGTTCATGCAGACAACTCAAGGATGGTTGTACAAGGGCAGGCAGAGAAGGGTAAAATGTCCCAGGCCTTGCCTTGGCCTGGAGAGGGAATTCTGGCAAGAGTCTTGACAGACAGATCAAGAGTATAGAATCTGGAGGAACTGCAAGCAGGCAACAGATACAGCATTTACTCTAATTTCATAGGTGAGGCAATAATAATAATAATAATAATAATAATAATAATAATAATAATAATAATAATAATTCTTCCACTTTGAACTTCCAAGATCTGGGCTCTTATTAAGTGTTTTACATAAGTTTCCTATTTAATCCCCAGGTAAGTTCTGTGCAGGCACTTCTACAAATGACTTCATAAGGTTTAAGAGATTGTATCAGTTACAAAAGTCACAGGGCTTGGAAGCCATTGTTGAACCTGGGCCTGTTGGGCTCTACAAAGAAATCTATGCTTAATGGACAAGGTTACCCAGTGACAGTCATGCTACTAAACACCCTGCAGTACCCAACCCCACTGAGGGCCAGATTCCACAGGAGCTTCAGCTCTCCCTGGCTCACTGGGGGCTTGCATATGCCTGCAGCTCCCCTATTTCCTTGACAGCACTATGCCAAAGCACCTCCACGATGCTGGACTGGGTGCCCACAGAGATGCAGCTTGGGAGGCAACTGAGTCCCGGGGAAGATGCTAGCTCAACACTTGCCCATTGGGCCTCAGGTTTACATATTTGAACTTGGACATGACTTCACTAGAACATGGCCCTGGAATGTTTCTACTTCCACGTGCCCATATCCCACAGGAAAAGAGCCAATGCTGAAGGACACCCCAGAAGTATTCTCCTGTAGGTCCATAGAGAGGTCCACCCTTGCAAACTTTCTCTTGAGGTTTATACAGACAGCACACAGTCCTTGAATGGAAAGATAACAGTCAGGTCTCCACTCAGGGCTGTCTCTACAGAGCTTTGCAGCTGGGTCTCATCATCCTAACAGACCAGAAGTTCCTAACAGCAACTATCAGTGCAGAGCTTAACTGTGTGCTGTGCTCTGCTCGCCTGGAGCTCTTTTCTGCACTTTCTCTCTTTCCTTTGGATTCTGTCATAGACAGACTTGCCAGCATATTTTCTCCGGTTCACACAGAATTAGGCTTCAAAGAGTCTTCTATTTGGATTTTAGCCAGGATTTTGAAATCCTAGGAATTTGCAATAAAATCAGATATCTTCTAGCTTCTCTGGATGTGTTGGTGGATGGTGTGGTGTCCCTTGTCCACTGGAGTGATAACTGCTCTTCTGGATGTGGCTGGCTCACTCCCTTCCACTGGGCCTTGACACTGTCTGCCAAGCTTCACTGCTTGGTGGTACCTGGTCAGCTCAGATACATAAACCTCTTGTCCCTGAGCTTGTGTTGCTCATGATTCTCCAGCTCATCACTGTGATGCTATTAATCCAACTCGGTAATGAAGTCATGAAGGGTCAGAGAATGCGAGCAATTTGCCCAAGATTTCACAGCAAATAGAACCAGAACGCCAATCGAGCCCTGCGTCTAGGTGTGCAGCATCGTGTTGAGTGGCTCCAAGGCTACCATCCAAACACAGACACCAACCATGCTCTCCAGGGCCTGACGCCCAAGCCAGTGTTTTGTTTATTTTTTCTCATACCCCAAAGCCTCACCCTGAGCCTCTTCGAAGTGAAGTGAGCATTTGAAAGCCTAAGCATCCTTGCTTCTCCTCCACAGTGCTCCTATATCCCTAGCAACCTGGACAACTACCAGATGGCTCTGGCTGATGTGAAGAAGGTCAGAGCCAATTTCCATGAGCACAAGGCTTTCTACTGCTTCTCTGCGCCTCAAGTCAACGAGACCAGCGTTGTGTATCAGCGCCTCTATGGGCCTCAAGTCCTCCTCTTCTCCTTCTTCTGGCCCACCTTCCTGCTAACTGGTGGCCTCCTCGTTATTGCCATGGTGAAACTCAACAGGTCCCTATCCATCTTGGCTGCTCAGAGATAGACCAATACACTCTTCATCACAGCACAGGAATCACCAGAGACAGCAGGGGTCACAGGCATGGCTGCTTATCACTCGTCACTCTTTCTCTTGTCTCCTCTTTTGCTTGCTCAACATCTTTGGGAAGTCATTTCCTACTCAAGAAAATTTAATAGCCTCCCAGTGCCTTTGGAGGACAAAGGGAAAGCCAGTTTCAGCTCCCCACTTCCTGTTCTCAATTGTTTGTCTGTTACCTTCTATGTCACTATGCACTCCCCAGATGATGAATATTGTCACCTCTGTTCCTATGTTCTCTCTCTTAGCTCAAATGCCTGCCTATTGCACCCAGGATATTGTTCTTGACCAAATTCAGCTTCTTTGAATTGTTACAAAAAACATCAGTTCTCATTTATAGGGCAACTCATTGTATTGCTTTTTATTAAGGACATTAAGTCACACACATGTTATTCTAAAATTTAAATTTTCCGTTCTCCTTCAATATCCACAGGACTAGTTCTGTGACTACTGAAGATGCCAAAAATTCCATATGTAAAGTGGTACAGCCTCTCTCTCTCTCTCCCTCTTCACCTCTCTCTCTCTCTCTCTCTCTGTGTGTGTGTGTGTGTGTGTGTGTGACCTCTGAACACCTTCCTGTGTGCCTCACAACATCCTCAGATGACTCATAACATCCACCACAAAGCCAATTCTGGCATTCTCTACTGTTTAGGGAATAATGATGAGGAAGGGTCCATCCGTGTTCACTACATATGCAGTTTTCCCCAAAATACTTTCATCTGCAGCTGATTGAATCCAATGCGGCAGAACCTGTTGATACAGAGTCCAAGCATATTCTCACAATAACAAAAGTCTTCAAGGAAATAAACACAAACACTTCAAAACATTAACCGTGGCATGGTAGTTAATTTTAACTTTTTTCCTTACCTCCACCCATTTTTGTTATTTTCATTTTTCAGTAATAGGAAGATAATATACTGTTTCGTTGATTTTAACTGGAAGAGCAATGCAATGCAGAACTGTTATTTTGGAGAATGTTGAAAGAGGCCATCCTTAGGGAGATGAGGATGGGCTGGGAGGAGCTGTTTCTCCTGTCAGAGACAAGCTAAGAAGACACAGTGTTAGCCTCCCTGGATGGAAGAAAGGCACTTACTAAGATGAGAATTTGCAGTTCATACTGCAGGTGATTTCAACATGTCCCCTCTATACACAGGTGTTGGGCATTTAACACAGCTAATGTTAACAACACTTGGAGGTGATTAGGATTAGATTAGGGTTAGAATAGGGTACCAGCTTTTCAAGAACAGGAAGAAAGACCTGAGGTAGGATGTTGCTCTGCCACCCCTTTGGATGCTCTCGCCACATGGGTCCCTGGTGGGCAAGTGAACAGGACAATTATATCCTTGCAACCCATCTGATAATTCTAACCAGGTTGCCCTGACATCTGATGTTGTCTTCCAGTTTCTTAGCCATGGCCTTTCCTTTCAAGGCCAAGTAGCTTATCACTCCCTAGAACATCTCCATCTAGGGGTCAGCAAGGTCTCAGGAGTCTTCAGTAAAGCTGACATTCTGATGCTGAGGTATAGTTTATGAGGTGCTACCACTGGGAAGAGTCATGAATGGGAAGGAGAGATCGCCCAGCATTATTATTTATTCTTACAAGTATGTGTGAATCTATGCTTATTCCCCCAAATTCAAATTCAATTTAAAAAGAGAAAGCAAAGTCCCCACAGGGAGGCCTACTTTTAAGGGTTATTTTATGCAGGTTTTCAACAGGAGAAAATGACACATCTTCCAGAAGAATTAGTACATAGGGATGGATGCCTAGCCTCCCCTGTCCCAAGCATTAGTCATGATGACCTTCATTTTCTTGGAAAAAAAATTGTTTCCCTGCTGTCAGCAGGGACTGGCCTGCTTCCATCAAAACCACACCTATCTGTGCTTCAGAACTGCATGGCTAGGGAGAGTGTGAAATAATGGGCATTTGAGCATGATGGAGTTATATGTGGGGAGATAAGATGATCTTGGTGACAAAGGCTGCCTAGAAACAGAGCCCTCACCCATCCTGAATAAATCACTGCTAAAGAGCATCAGATACTTTCTGTTCCTGATTCGTTCTCACTGGCCATGATTCATACCTGCAGAGGTGTGCCTGGTCTATTCCCCATGCATCCTTTCTCCTAAATCAGACACCTTGTCGACATCAGAAGCAATAGGACTCCTGAGTTTCTGATTTGAAGTGGAAAGAATCCTTGTGAGGTATCCTAGTAGTGCCAGACCTCAGATGGCTTCAGCTCTCCAGCCAAGGCTGAGATTAAAAAAAAGAAAAAAAAAAGTGGGCCTCTTCCAGATTTGAAGGTTCCCAAGGGAAGAGGGCTCTCTGTTCCCTATAAAGCTGGAAGGCAAGGAGGGCAGAGAGCTGACTCTGATACATGCTTGCCTTCCAGGAGATGTCTCTCTCTCAACCTCCAGCTCTATTGGCATCATTAAGGGTGGTAAGGAACCTAAATTGTGTGCTATAGAAATCTTAAAATTTTTTTGTGATTTTCTGAAATAATTCCTATTTCCCTCTAAACAAACAAGTTTCAGCCCAAGCTTCTCCTATTTTGAACCCCCTTGAGTCAGCCAAGTGCAAAGCTATTACTGATATAACAGGTGGTTGGTTAGGCTGTCAAGTGCCCTTTCATTTCCCATTCTATTTGGAGGAATTTGAATTCTATGAAATATTTGGGAAGATGCCATTTGAGCGAGTGAAGCTGTCTAGTTCCTTACCAGCCAAGGTCCCTCCAGGAGCAGATGAAAGAGAAGCAGCAAGTGCAGGTTAGGGCATGAGATCTCCCCTGGAGTATTGGGCAGCTGGGCTTAAACTGGAGGCACATGGGACCACAACCTTCCATGACTACACAATAATTACACCTTTTCTTACTTGTTCTCTACAAATATGTGGTCAGAAGTTCCAGGTCAAGATAGTGAGATACAGAGCAAATATAGAATTTTGGTTGGAGTCCAGCTGCTTGGTTGACTAAACATTAAAGATACCTTCAAAAAATGTGCAACAGATGGTTCAGTGGTTAAGGGTGTATGGTGTCTTTGTAGAGGACCAGGATTTGGTTCCCAGCACCCATATCAGCCAGCTCACATCTGCCTGTGACTCCATATCCATGGGAGATCTAACACCTCTGGGTTCCAGGGGCTGGGGGCTCCTGTGGCCATGGGCACATGCCCAAACTCACCCCCCCCCCACACACTTAAAATAAAAATAAAAATTTAAAAATGTAAAATAATGAGATTTCTCTTGATAACATTTTGTAAGATAAAATTATTTTTCATAAAATGTTTATGTAATATTCATAATTTACTATTACTTTAAAATAAAGATATTGAAATGAAATGTTTTATAGTTCCTAATTTTAATTGATAAAATGACAACTACTAATAGCTATAACAAATATACACCAACACTCCCTGGATCCTCAATATTTTTCAAAAGTGTAATAGGTCCTGAGCACAGACAGCTTTAGGGGGTTGGGCTAGTGCATCTAGAGATAAAGATGATGTCTCTTCCCACTGTGCCCATGAAAATATAAAGCCAATCTCTGTTGAGTTCTTCAGATTCCCACTGAGGCACAGAGGGGAGGTTTTAGTTCTCTGGATTGCCTCTGTGTCTCAGTTCATGATTTGACAAAAGGGTCAGTGGATGGATCATCTCCTTACCTACAAGCACTTCCTAGATCATTTATTTGCATTTCAGATCAGTGCAGAACTCAGGGTCTTCCTGGATTACCCAACTTTCCTGCTCTCCCTACTGATATAAAACATGTTGTCATCAGCCAGCTTTCCTAAAGGGTAGTTGGGAGATGGGGAGGGGAGGTACGCAGAGGCATCGAACTCTAGACTGAATGTGAATCAACTGTGTGATATATCCCCAGGCTTGCTCCTTCTCCCAAGCTGCAGAGACTTGGTTCCCCATAACCTCATCCCTCCACACAACCCTCACTCCTGACACCACACACATGAAATAAAATCAGAGACTCACTAAACATATGCATCATAGAAACAGGACTTCTACTCCTATGCACTGTGAAGGGCAATCTTGTGTGAATTTACCAGTGACCTGTGGGGTCTCTTGCTAACTCTGTGCAGCATCAAATTGCAATACACTGCAGGAAGCTTCAACAGTGTCAGAACTGGTTGGTGTCAGAGGAGATATAACTTTCCCATCTTCTGTCAGAAGTATCGCCAGGGAGAAAACCCTCATATTTCCACATTTCTCTTTAGTGACAGTCTACATCAACACGTTTGATGAATAACTCACTGGACCAAGCTGTAGCCCTTCCATTCCGGGATATATTTAGCTAACCATTCCCCCAAGCGACAATCTGTCATCCCTAATAGTAATAAGAACTAACATTTGTGGAACACCTGTGTGCTGGGATGTGGGCCAAGCCTTTCCACATATGGCTCATTTAACACTAACAGCATCCTTTGAGGTTAAGGCTGGCATCTCCATTTCATAGATGTGATAACTGAGGCATGCAGAAGGGGTTTAACTTGCCCTAGAGTTATCAAGTAGAAGAGATGAGATTAAAAAAAATTAGACAATATGGGTTTACTATGGCTCTAACTACTATGGCTCTAACTACTGAGAACCTTCTCCCACCTCTTCCCCTGTATCAAGTGTGCAAAGGCCCAATGTTGAGAGCCTGTTAGCTGCCTTCATGGCACCCCTACAGAGCCCAGGCTCTCACAGCTTCTCTATGCTATTTATCTAAAGAGCCAGTAACTGAGACTATTTCCCAAATATAAACACTTGGAATGTGGGTGCTGCCAAGAATAACTGGGGCTGTCAACGATTTGCCAGAAGCCACAATTTCTGGCCCACAACCCATTTGGTCACTTGAAACCAAGGCATTCTCCAATCACCTGAGTCCTTGCATTGCTGGCCACAATTACAAATCAGAATAGCAGGGTGGCAGTTTGATGGGCAATTTGACTTTCTTAGTGACCCCACCCTTTTCTTGGTG